AGTCTGCTTTCACTTGTTAAGAATATACCAATGTTTTTCGAATTACACGGCTCTGTAAAGAATGGTTCAATCTTTGTGAAGTATTTAACTTCGAGAAAAAAATTGTTTGTTTGTTCAATTATTTTTTGCACGAGCACAATTGAACCATCCTGTAATAAGCAACAATTATTCTTTCTTTCATTTGATATTTGGTAACTAGGATACTTTAATGATGCGATTTCTGATTTATCTAACAAACTATTTTTGTACTTCGGAATGGGATATTTACATTTATTGTGGGAAAATTTATCAGGTCCAAATGTTTCTGTGCAATCCGGTAAATGTTCAGAAACATGCACATTATAACTTACATATTCCGGAGCGTATGCTTTTGGAAAATTAACAATAAACCATTGGAGAAGAGATTTTGAAAATTTTCGTAATTCCGAATTTAGACATAACTCTTCATCGAGAAGGATTCTAATAGCAACGCTTAAAGATAAAAAATGCAAATACTTTGAACTCGGAATTATTTCTTTAAAAACGACTGGACCTGTGTATAATAGGAACTGTCGACTTTCAGTTGCCTTCCATCTGTCTATATCGAGGACAGATCGAGGTTTGCGCGCGAATTCGGTTGTTATAAATTCCCCCATACTTATTAAATTTTTTGATAGTTTCTCAATTAAAGTATCTGACAATCGGATACCTTTTGGACCTTTAGTCAAGAGCCACAATAATCGCCTTACACAACCCAGACAAATACAATGCATATAATCTACAGGGATTTGTCGAATCATATCTATTGGCAATTCTTCTAAAATGGAGGAATCAATGTGGTGTTTTTCTTGCAACCTCTGCCTAAATGCATTGTCAGTACGATGGGTATATTTAATTCCGGGAAATTTAATGCGATTTCTAATCCACTTGCCTTTTTGTACACATTGCGGACAACCAAAATAGCCGTTATGGCCCTTAGTACACGTGATAAAAGATCTGGCTGGCGCATCACAAATTATAGAATTAATCGCGAAATGTACAAACTGATCATTAACATCTATACCATCCTTCAGACATTTAAGACAATCATCAACAAAAGGCCTAAGAAATTTGTTTGCATCATGTGGTTTTTGTTGCCCATGATAGACACCAATCAAAAAAGGCTCTGTATAAAATTCTGTAACAATATCCCCCATTATTGTCCAAAATTGACTGCTTGAACTCTTAACTAAAGGCACTCCATCAATATGTACATTAATTTTTATTTCTTTTGGAACGGTTTTAAAATATTTATTAATAGAGCGCGCAATACACGGTTGCAAACTAAAATGATAATAATGGCCCCCACACATCTCTTCGAAATTTACAGAAGTATTTTTTGGTGTTTTTACTAAAGTGCGGCGATCATTAGGCAACTCTGTGTGACCATGTTTTTTCAAAATTCGAAGCAACTTATTTGTTATTGTCTGTGTAAAATGTCCCTCTATTACAAGATTTCGCAAATCAGCAGTCAAATCAACTTCACTATCGGAGCTATTAGATTCGTAGTCAATATTTTCAAATTCGTCACTAGATGTGTCGCTATTTACAACGTCGCTGTCAAATTGATCAAATTGATCGTCTACTTCATCAGCTAAAATTGTGCATGCAATACTGTCAAAATGATCACCTACTCCATTATCTGTCACAGGACATGCAACATTGTCAAAATCTTGTAAAGGATTATCTTCACTAATTACAATAGAATCAGTAATGTCAGTGTTATTGCGTTCACATGAGGTCAAGTTATTTTGTGTACTAGGTAGAGTTGAAGAAGTGCACTCGTTTGTATGACTTGTTGATGGAGGGAAGATCTTACATGTTGAATGAAGATTGGTACTCGTTTCAGGAACATCGTCATCAGACGTTGAAAGAAGGTCAACATTCTCTATTTCTGCCCGAATCAAGCGTGCTTTATGTCGTTTGGAGACATTGACAAAGTTCTTTGGCATTTCAGAAAATATCAATTCGTTTGCTGCGAAAAAATGCAGGAGTCGATTCGGTAAATTTAAGTCAGTTTCCATTTTTAAAAAAAAAATTTTAATTTGTTTGAAAACATGTAGAGAAAAAAAGAATTATTCTTAAAAATGTAAAAGCAATTATTTTTTAAATATATTTATTAAATTTATTATTTTTAGGGTTCCGTACTCGGTTCGGAACCCTATTAATATCGGTTTTTTTGAAATCGTGTACCCCCCCCCTAGCGGCCACATAAATTTATCTGGAGGGCTGAAAATTAGTACACATATGTATTTTCGCGTGTAGATTACAGGAAAATTATAGCGAACTTGATTGGAATTGATTAACATAGCGTTGTCAAGGAAAAACCATGAATTTTTACGAAAAATGCCTAAAAATGACTATGTACCCCCCCCCCCCCCCCTAGCGGCCACATCTTTTGACATAAAGAGCTCAAATTTGACACACTTACGTATTTTTACGTGAAAATTACAGGAAAATTATAGCGAACTTGATTCGGATCAATTTACATAGCGTTGTCAAGGAAAAATCAAAAATTTCGAAAAAAATAATTTATTCTCCCTAGCGCACACAATATTCAACCCAGACAGATCATATTTAGTATACAAATGTATTTTTACGGGAAAAATACAGGGGAAAAAAAGCGGTCACGATTAGAGTTGATGATTAACTTTTTATCAAGTTTTTCAAGAAAAAATGACAATTTTAGGAAAAAAATGTATTTTTCCACCAAAAACGAACAAAATTTTATTTAAAGGAAATTAAATTTATATATTTTAACGTATTTTTACGTGTAGATTACAAAAAAAATATAGCGAGCATGATTGGAGTTGATTATCATAGCGTTGTCAAGGAAAAACCATGAATTTTTACGAAAAATACCTAAAAATGAGTATGTACCCCCCCCCTAGCGGCCACATCTTTTGACATAAAGAGCTCAAATTTGACACACTTACGTATTTTTACGTGAAAATTACAGGAAAATTATAGCGAACTTGATTCGGATTAATTTACATAGCGTTGTCAAGGAAAAATCAAAAATTTCGAAAAAAATGATTTATTCTCCCTAGCGCACACAATATTCAATCCAGACTGTTCATACTTGCTGTAAAACTCAATTTTTGCGTGAAAAATACAGGGAAAAAATGTAAGCGCGATTGGAGTTGATGATCAATTTTTATCAAATTTTTGAAGAAAAATGATAAATTTCAGAAAAAAATGTATTTTTCCGCAAAAAACGAAAAAAGTTTTTCTACAGTGATTCAAATTTATATATTTTGACGTATTTTTACGTGTAGATTACAAAAAAAATATAGCGAGGATGATTGGAGTTGATTTTTCTGGAATTAATAAACAAATTTTATTTTTTAGATGACTTTCGATTTTTCCTTGACAAGCGGCTACTAGCCTTATATCAATATCTTAAGTTTTATCTCTTTTTGACTTAGAAAGATAAAATTTAATATTCAATATATTTTTAAAATGTAAATACAATAAAAATATTGCGAGTTGAAATAAAATTATGTTTCTTATATTTTTTTAGTAAAATATTTTTTAAAAAATAAAATCGGACAAGTGCGAGTTACACTCGCACTGAAATCGAGGGTTCCGTACTCGAAGCGAACTTATTTGGTATAAAAACAAATGTTTAAAAAATATGTGTTGTATGTCAACTAATATAAGTGATACGAAGAGGAACAATTTTCTTGAATTTTACAAAATTGTTCCTTTTTGTATCACTTATATTAGTTGTCATACAACACATATTTTTTAAACATTTGTTTTTATACCAAATAAGTTCGCTTCGAGTACGGAACCCTCGATTTCAGTGCGAGTGTAACTCGCACTTGTCCGATTTTATTTTTATAATAAAATTGCTTCAATGTATAAAATAATAGATAAAATAAAGTTAATAAATAATAAATAAATGAAATAAAATTCCAAGTTACTTCACAACTGTATAAGCTTTTCCATTTTTATTAATTATTTGTAAAAAAAACAGAAATATTCAAGAAAGTTTTGAATTACTGTCATAAATTTATTAAATTGAATTGAAGGTACAAATTTTATTCTCATATTTTTAAATATTACATAAATGTAACATGATTTTAAAAGTATTTTTGTAAATGGATTAAAAGAATGAAAAAATTTTTCTCTATCGAATAACAAATGATTTAAATATTTCTTATGGTTAATTAATCGAATTTAAAAAAGTTGTTTTTGAATTTTCGTTAATCAAATTTTTAAATAGACAGGGTGTCTACAAAATTTCATTACTCGAATTTCCGGCTATTTCTAGGTTTTTTCCTGGTTTAATAATTAAAGTTTTTTCTTACTATAAATAAATCATAATGAATTATACAGAATACAATTTTATTAAAAAAATTTCAATATATTTCAATTCCCGGCTACTTTCCGTTTTTCCGTTTTTTGTTCGATCTCCCGTTATTTTTCGGGTTTTCAAGTTAAAATCCGCAACGTTTATCACCAACGATTCAAAACAATCAATATATTTTCAAATAAAAAAAAGAATATTTCCTTTTATATACACATTTTTATAAGATACTATTGATGTTTTAAAAATGAAAATGCAAAAGATGCAAATCAGGATGATATAGCGATGGGAAATCCACATGTTTACTGTTTCACAAAACTTTAAATTCTTTTAACTGGTATCTAGTACAGATTGTTTAACGTCGTTAAAATATGACATTACATGTCTAGCCAAAAGCGATGCAAATAAATCCGAAATTTGTTAAAACTAATGTACATTTTAAATAATGTTTGAACACGAAAACATTGTTAAATACTTGACGCGTGCTCCGCCATTTTCATCTGGTCTGGTTTGGTTAGGTTAAAGAAGCACGTCACGTTTTCTTGATCAGCGTCAATGCGCTGGCGTATAGGCGTAGGGATACGAGTTCAAATGTGTCTAGAGGGACTATTTTCGTAGGCTGTTTGTGGGATTGGGGAATTAGGATTTAGTTTTTCGCCACTTTCGTGTCGTGATCTATATGTGTTCTACGTACTATACTTTTTGCAAATATCTCTCAGCTTCCCTATTTATATTTAAAAATTAAAAAAATTTAATTAATAAATATCTAAAAGTAATACATACGCGCAAAATATTTAGGCGTTTATAGTATTTTTCTGCTATTTAAGCGGATATTTTTCCAACATGGAGAATGAAAGTTTTTCCGATTACGTAAGTACAATTTACTTAAATAAATATTTTAATCAATGATCGTAAATAATTATGTTTATTATTGTTTATTTTTCTTTAATAATTTAAATTTTTACAAATTGTCTGAAACATTTTTTAAATTTTCTTATTTTCAACGTTTTGTAAATTTTAACCTTAAAAACGTGCACGTGGTCGCATATGTGGTTGCATACATTTTTACTAATATTTGATTTCCTAACTAAAAAATTTTTAAATAAAATTTAATTATTTAAACAATTTTTATTAATGTAATATTTTTAAAAATAATTTAATATTTTAAGCCAAAATATGAAAATACACATTATGAAATTTTAATATTTAGTTTTAAAAAATAATAATAAATATTGTATAACTAAAATATTAAATTAAAATTTTTAGTCGCCCTCTGCAACGTACACAATAATATGACTGAAAACGAATTTTCTAACCATGCAGCAGAATGGTTTCGAGTGGCAAAGCAACGATATTCAAGAGAGAAAGAAAAGTAGGTTGACTTTTTTAAGTACAATATAATTTCCAAATGCTAATTCAAATACCTATGGCTACGTCTAATTTTTTTTACAGGAAAGGTAAAGATGCAGCAAATGAACACCAAAAGAATGAAAACTAATTAATAAAGGTCAATTGAAATCACGAAAGTTGGGCAAACTATTTTATTTCGAGATGTGGGAGGTGAATCCCATTTAGTTCAAATCCCTCCCGGAACAGCATAAGACTTAAAATATATAAAAAAGCTTTTTCAATATATATTAATGTTATTATTTTTATAAATTGATATTTCATTTTAAGTATTATCTACAGTAGAGTATTATTTTTTAAGTTCTTCACTCCTTTGAGATAAAAAGATAAAGTTATTCTTATAAATAAAAAAATTTATTGTTATTTGTTAAAAGTAAAAGAAAATTTACACATATATATATACATAGAAATATTTGTATTATAAAAATTATAGAAGAGTGAATAAATAATAGCTTTCTTAAAAAATATAATGTGTATTGTACTTTTTTATTTCCGAATAATATTTACTATAGCCACATTCATATATATAATCATTTATATAAGATTTTACTTTATAATTCTTTAACTACATAAATATATATAGTTATGTATATTATTTTTTATTTACGTCCTTTTCATACTTAAAAAATTAAAGTTCATAATTTTTTTACTAAACATGTTAATAAATTATTTTTTTCATAATACATAAATCTAGATTGAGGTTATAACTAAATATTCTAGAAGATATATTAATAACTTAATTTCATAAGATCTACATAACACCTGTTATATAATAACTAATATAAATATCTATCGTAGAAAAAATATTCTTTAACAGTTGTTACAATATAAATCTATAACAGATGCATAAAACTTGTCATATAACAGTTACAATAAATTTTTATAGAACTAATCTAGGAACAAATATTCTAGATAATTTGTTATACTATAAATCTGTAATACATCCATAACACTTGTCATGTAACAGTCATAAGTTATTGTTATAGAACCTATCTTAGAACAAATTTTCTAGATCAATTGTTACATTTGAATTCTATAACACATGTATAACACTTTTCATGTAGCAGTTACAACACATCGTTATAGAACCTATCTTAGAACAAATTTTCTATAACATTTGTTACATTTCAATTCTGTATCACGTTTGTAACACTTGTTATATAACAACTACAACACATCGTTATAGAACATATCTTAAAACAAATTTTCTAAAACATTTGTTACATTTTTATTCTATAACAGATCTAGAACACTTATCATATAACAGTTACAGTACAAAGTTAAAGAACTGTTATGTAATGACTTTGGAAGTAAGTTATAGATCAATGTTACTTTTTAGTTACAGATAGCCTACATAATCAAATTATAACATTTGTTCTGTAACACTGTTACACATTTTTCATAGAACAAATACAGAACGTGTTTGCTGGGTTATGTCTTGTTTTTTTAAAAAAACATGTAACTTTTTTTCTTGTTATCCAAATGAGATCAATTTTTTTCAAATTTCTCACAAAAAGATGCTATTTTAAGAAAAAAATAGTTCATGAAAAAAAAAATTTTTTTTGACCGGAAAAAATGCAAAAAAAATTTGGAATTCATTTTTTGAAAAAACTAGCTCTTCGATATCAAAAAAATTTTTTTTCTACTTATTGCCTATGATGTTAAGAATAACTTCTCTAATTTTCATAATGGAACAGTAAGAACTTTGCGAGAAAAAAATTAAAACGTCCCGTGCGGCGCGATGGGACGCACGCATCTTAGTTTTCACGTCCATTATATAGTATGGAAACTTGCAACTATCTCGAAAAGTACTAATTGTCGTAAAAAATGTTCAAGACAAAAGTTGTTCCAAACAAAAAGATCTACATCTTTGAAACCAAAAAATTGGGTCCGGGGCCCAATGTTGGGCCATACAATGAAAAAAGTGGTTTTCTTAAATGAGACCACTAATTTTCAGTATCAAATTCGTAATCCCTATGAAATTCTGCGTTCAGACATGTTGTATAAGTGCTCAAAATATTAGTTCCAATGTCTGGGATTGGGCCCAACATTTTTTGACAAACAAATAGATTTAATAAATCTCATCTTTGGGGGCCCAATGTGAGACCCACAGTAAAAAAATTAGTTTCCATCCATTTCGTAACAGTTATGAAATTCTGGGCTTAGACTTGTGGTACAAATTCTAAAAATATTGAGCCCAATCCCAGACATTTGGCCCAATATTTTTACACGTGTAATTTGTACTTTAAATTTGAAACTTATTTTTCAGAAAATTTCACGTGTAATTATACGTGTAATTTATATTTTGATGTTTCTCGAATATTTTATAAACTTTTATACATGTAATTACACATGTATTTTATACTTTGATGTTTCTGGAACATTTTATAAACTTTGACACATGTAATTACACGTGTACATTATACTTTGATGTTTTTCGAATACTTTAAAACTTTTTACACATGTAATTATAAGTGTAATTTATACTTTAAAACTTTTTTGAAATTTCATGGTTTTTGGTACACATGTAATCACGCGTGTAATTTATACTTGGATGTTTCTCGAATAAGTTATAAACTTTTCTCTTGAACATTTGAATTGACGTTTGTTTATTCGAGTTTGCATTATAAATGAATGGAATCAATGTTTCGAAGTGTAAAAAAGCCGATTTGGAATAAGAAATATATAATTTTTTAAAAAGAAATAAAAGAGAAATGTGACAGATTTACCGACAATTTTACCATGTGAGTAGTACTCATATGGTAAATTTATCATATGAACACTACACACTTGATAAAATTGTGGGTGAATCTGTCATACTTCGCTTTTATTTCTTTTTAAAACATTATATATTTCTTTTTCCAAATCGGCTGTTTTACACTTCGAAACATTTATTCTATTCATTTATAATGCAAACTCGAATAAACAAACGTCAATTCAAATGTTATGGAGAAAAGTATTCACGGTAAGAAAGAATAATTCACCGTAACATTCCAATTCGGTTTTTACGCCAAACCAAATTCAGCTTAAGTTACCACCAATTCTTTTCGCTTATTCCCAATTATTTTTTTTACTGTGTAAATGAAAAATATCACAATGTCATAACCAAACACCGTTTGAACAATTACAATTCCAAACAAGTAGGGGGTCCTTTATGTTTATTTCATAAACATTATGCTTCCTCATTGTGTGAAGCAAAAAATTCGCTTCCTCGTGAAGGAAGCAATGAATTTGTCCAATTCAATTGATTGATTTAAAAACTTTCGAATTAAAAATGTTTTAAATTAATTAAATTTTTTGAAAAATAAAGAAAATTTTAATTAATTTTGAGTGTAACATAAACTTTATATATACGAATCGATTCGTTTTAATGCAAGGAATACAATTATTTTATTCATCAACTTGAATTTAAAAAAAACACAAAATTTTTTAGCTAAAATATGAATTTTCGATTTTTCAATTTTTATTAATTCTCAAATTTTAAATCAAATCTATACTTTATATATACCAACCAATTCGTTCCAATGCAGGGAATAAAATTATTTCATATATAAACATGAATTTAAATAAACACATCATTTTTTAGCTAAAATGAGAATTTTTGATTTTTTAACTTTCTTTAATTCTTTAAATTTCAATCAAATCTATACTTTATATATATCAATTGATTCATCTTGACATAAAGAAGACGAATATATTATATATTACCTTAAATTTTTTGATTTAAAAATTTTTTCAATTAAAAAAAATTTTTTGGAAAAAAGACGATAAAATTTTTTTTTTTGGGTATTTTTAAAAATCCTCTCGTCATTTTTGAGAGATTAATGTGTTAAATAAGCCTACCAAATTTTATCCAAATCCATTAAAACCTGTTAAAGATATCGTGTTCACAAAAACGATCCACACACAAATACACACACACACACATACAAACACACATACAAACACACATACAAACACACATACAAACACACATACATACATCCGGACAATTGATCAGGATCTCATATAACATGTTTCTATATAGAGGAAAATTTGTTTTCACCATTTTTAAAAAGTTTATAAACGAAAGGACTACATAGCTTCCTCCACGAGGAAGCAAAATGAACAATACAAATTTGATTGGCCTAATATTCAAATTTTACATAAAGAGAATAAGTTAAATAAAAGATTGATAGCAGAAACATGTTTTTTAAAAAACGAAGGTAAAAATATTATTAACAAAATGTCGTTTTTAGTAGAAACTAGTTTATCCAAACTAATGTGAGGAAGAAGTGTCTCGGTTAATCACAAACTCAGATAACACGGAAAAAATAAGAAAATTTCAATCATTTGTTATGTACTTAAAGATTTTAAAGTGTTTGAATAAAGTTATATAAAGTAATATAAATAAATTTATATTGCATAACATTGTAGTTTGAAACCACAATCGTCGTTTGCACATAGCGCAAGAGGTTTTGCGGAAAATTTTTTCCAGACTTGGCAGCTCCATTCATTGTATCCGAGTTATTTTGCATTATCCGAGCAGTGCTCGGTACCTCGGATAACGCGGAGTCTCGGATAATCGAAGCTCAGATAACCGAGGTTCTACTGTATTGTTAATTATAATTACTCGAATATAATTATATTATAAAATTAGTGTTTTGAATTGAATTCGATTCCATATTCTGTTTTAAATTTTATATCGTTTAAATATATGTGTGCTAATGACATTTGTGTACAGGTCTGTTAGAATTGCCTCTTAATCTTTGTTTCAGTATTATATAGACTTCGTTAAATAATTGTTGAATGGTATTAAAATAATTTTTAAGAATTGTTACAACTTTGAAATATAATGTTAGTTTTTACACAAAGTGTAACAAAATGGGTGTAATCAAAAAGGTAAATTTAGTTTAAAGTAAAAAGATAAAATTATTATTTTAATGTTATATAAAATTTTACTAAATTTGAAATTTATTATAGATTGTAACAATGATTATGGTCACAACCAATTGTCTTTTAAAACAAGAGATAATGAAACAAGTGATTATGTGAGACTTAGTGTGGTGAGAATATTAGAATTTTCTCTTTTTATATTTTTATGATAATTGTAAAAATTCAAAAAATTTTGTGTCTTCAAAAAATATAAACACTATATGAATAGTATGTTTAGTTGTTCTACATTCAAGTATGT